TGGAAGACACATTTCAATGTCCTCCACAGCATCAGACTCATTGACAAGGCCTGGCAAGATGTCACAACTAGGACCTTGAACTCAGCCTGGAGGAAACTGTGGCCAGAACGTGCCACAGACAGTGGCACTGAGGGGACTGATTCACAGGTGGCGAGGGACATCATCTCCATGGCTGAAGACATGGGTCTGGATGTCGACAAAGATGTAGAGGAGCTGGTTGAAGGCCATGAAGAGGACTTGACAACAGAAGAACTTGCAGAACTGCAAACCGAGCAGCAGAAGGCTCTTGTCGAGGAGCTTTCCACTGAGGAAGAAGAACCGCAGGTTAGCAACGAGGAGATAAAAGCCATCTGCAAGAAATGGACTTCTTTGAGAGGCACAACCCAAACAGGACTGTGACAGAGTTATGGACACGATGAATGACAACGTGGTCAGCCATTTCAGAAAGATTCTGCAGCGCAGGATGAAGCAGACGAAACTGGACAGATTTTTCACCAGGATGGAGCCTGCAGCCAAGAGACAGCGACAGGGAACCCCTGGAGAAAATGACCCAGAGGAGGGGACCTGTACCTCGCAGTGATGACCATCTCACCATCCTCCAGACAGAAGACACCAAAAGCTAAGTGACCTCTCTTTTGTTTTAAAAGGTGTTGGTGGGTGGGTTGGTTTAAAAGTTGTTTGTTTCGTTTTAAAATGTGTTTTGTTTAAAAGTTGCTTGCTTGGTTTAAAATGTGTTGTTGTAAAATGTGTTGGTTTAGCATGTGTTTTAGACTCCAAACTCTCCCCCCCTTGTCTTCTCTCTCTCTCTGTTCTCTCTTTTTGTGCTTAACAGCACAAACCTTTTCCTGAAGGGTCTGTGTGCTCCAGTGATGACCTTCTTTCTTTCCTCTTTTGCTCATTGTTCCTTCCCTCCCTACCCCCTATCCTGCCCTTTTTTTAACCTGAAAGGTGCTTGACTTTGTTTAAAAGATGCTTGTTTTTAAATGTATTCTGTTTAAAAGGTGTTTTCCTGCCCCTTTTTAACCTAAAAGGTGCTTGGCTTGGCTTAAAAGGTGCTTGTTTTTAAAGGTGTTCTGTTTAAAAGGTGTTCTCCTGCCCTTTTTTAACCTAAAAGGTACTTGGCTTGGTTTAAAAGGTGCTTGTTTTTAAAGGTGTTCTGTTTAAAAGGTGTTCTCCTGCCCTTTTTTAACCTAAAAGGTACTTGGCTTGGTTTAAAAGGTGCTTGTTTTTAAAGGTGTTCTGTTTAAAAGGTGTTCTCCTGCCCTTTTTTAACCTAAAAGGTACTTGGCTTGGTTTAAAAGGTGCTTGTTTTTAAAGGTGTTCCCTCCCCCCTCCCTCCTTTCCTACCCTTTTTTGACATAAGTTCATCTTAGGTCAAAAGAAGAAAAAATCTCCCCCTAGTGGTAAAGTATGGATTAACCAGCTTTGCATTAATTCCTATGGGAACTAATGCTTTGACTTAAGAACGGCGTCTCTACATAAGAATGAAAAAAGCCGGAAAAGATTAAATGGTTTTCAATGCATTCCTATGGGAAATGGTGATTCAACTTATAAAAATATCAAGATGCAGCCACCGTTCCAATATGGATTAATTTTGTAAGTCGAGGCACCACTGTACTTTGTTGTGTCTTTTCAACGCTGTATCTGTTTGTTCTCCTCTCCTGCGGGGTGGGTGGGTTACTCACAGCTGAGTATCCAAAATGGTTCCCGCCCGGTCTGTGCTCAGGGTGATCTCTTCAGAGGGAAGAAACACCAGGTTGCTGCCCAACTTCCCTCACCTCCACTGCTCACCATGCTTCACGGAGATTTCTCCAAGTCTCCCCTTCGATCCCTCATTTCTGAAGGACCCCCAGACCAGGCGGTTCCAGCTTTTCCCGGGAGCTGTTCCCAGGAGCTGCCGGCTGCACCGCGACAAGCCCCGCTTTCAACTAACACAGATCTTTGGGGCATGTAAATTCTGAACTGAAGCAGAAAAAAACCCAATCTGTAACTTTGGTGGATTTCTCCATCATCATACTTAATCGCAGGAATGAAACGAACTACAGATGGAATAACTGTCAGCCTCTTCCCTTCCCAGCACAAAGCTGACACAGGCAAACAATTCACATTAAAGGTCACACCAGGGCTTCTACTTCCATCGAAAGTACAGCTGCAGATAAACTGGGCTTGCATTCTGGAAGCCAAAGACAGCACTAAAAACAGGGAGGAAATGCTTAGGAGTTGAACTGCAGTAATAAACTACCTGTTCAAGGAAGCTGGCACTGGTGATGGCTTCCTCCATGTGCTCTTCATCTGATTTTAAAACAGACTTTATGTCTTCCACCAATTCATGAATATCAGGGGTCATGCTGCAAGAGGACTGCTCCAAGAATTTTGCCACAAGAAGCTTAGTATCTATATATGATTTATAGTCTATTAAGGACTGAGGTCTTGAGCGCAAAGCCTTTGCTCTCATGGTTTTTCGCAAAATGACAGTAGCCTGTTCTGGTTTTAATTCTGTTTGAGTGGCAGCTTCACAACTCAGCACCAGACCTGGAAACAAAAAAGGAAATCTCACTTAATACAACTGCCTAGTCTACAGAAAGATATTTTTTAAAGGTGTTCTGTTTAAAAGGTGTCCTCCTGCCCTTTTTTTAAGCTAAAAGGTGCTTGGTTTTGTTTAAAAGGTGCTTGTTTTTAAAGGTGTTCTGTTTAAAAGGTGTTCTCCTGCCCTTTTTAAACCTAAAAGGTACTTGGCTTGGTTTAAAAGGTGCTTGTTTTTAAAGGTGTTCCCTCCCCCCTCCCTCCTTTCCTGCCCTTTTTTGACATAAGTTCATCGTAGGTCAAAAGAAGAAAAAATCTCCCTCTAGCGGTAGAGTATGGATTAACCAGCTTTGCATTAATTCCTATGGGAACTAATGCTTTGACTTAAGAATGGCATCTCTACATAAGAATGAAAAAAGTCAGAAAAGATTAAATGGTTTTCACTGCATTCCTATGGGAAATGGTGATTCAACTTATAAAAATTTCGAGATGCAGCCACCGTTCCAATACGGATTAATTTTGTAAGTCGAGGCACCACTGTACTTTGTTGTATCTTTTCAACGCTGTATCTGTTTGTTCTCCTCTCCTGCGGGGTGGGTGGGTTACTCACAGCTGAGTGTCCAAAATGGTTCCCGCCCGGTCTGTGCTCAGGTGATCTCTTTAGAGGGAAGAAACACCAGGTTGCTGCCCAACTTCCCTCACCTCCACTGCTCACCATGCTTCACGGAGATTTCTCCAAGTCTCCCCTTCGATCCCTCATTTCTGAAGGACCCCCAGACCAGGCGGTTCCAGCTTTTCCCGGGAGCTGTTCCCAGGAGCTGCCGGCTGCACCGCGACAAGCCCCGCTTTCAACTAACTCAGATCTTTGGGGCATGTAAATTCTGAACTGAAGCAGAAAAAAACCCAATCTGTAACTTTGGTGGATTTCTCCATCATCATACTTAATCGCAGGAATGAAACGAACTACAGATGGAATAACTGTCAGCCTCTTCCCTTCCCAGCACAAAGCTGACACAGGCAAACAATTCACATTAAAGGTCACACCAGGGCTTCTACTTCCATCGAAAGTACAGCTGCAGATAAACTGGGCTTGCATTCTGGAAGCCAAAGACAGCACTAAAAACAGGGAGGAAATGCTTAGGAGTTGAACTGCAGTAATAAACTACCTGTTCAAGGAAGCTGGCACTGGTGATGGCTTCCTCCATGTGCTCTTCATCTGATTTTAAAACAGACTTTATGTCTTCCACCAATTCATGAATATCAGGGGTCATGCTGCAAGAGGACTGCTCCAAGAATTTTGCCACAAGAAGCTTAGTATCTATATATGATTTATAGTCTATTAAGGACTGAGGTCTTGAGCGCAAAGCCTTTGCTCTCATGGTTTTTCGCAAAATGACAGTAGCCAGTTCTGGTTTTAATTCTGTTTGAGTGGCAGCTTCACAACTCAGCACCAGACCTGGAAACAAAAAAGGAAATCTCACTTAATACAACTGCCTAGTCTACAGAAAGATATACCTATGTATGCACACATAAGTGCGCACACACAAACATTCTGAAATTCCACAAAATGTGGTTACTGTCTGAATGAAACAATTTGTAATGATTTTCTAACACCATACTAGAGGACCCAACAAAGAGAAAAATCTATTTCTGTTATCAAGTTCATCAATGCAGTTTGGGAACAAAATCATGAATACTTGACAATTAGCTCCTGTGAGAAGACCTTCCTGTGATACTTAAAATCCCATCAATGGATCAATCAATCAGTGAGGGACTTCATTTTAAGTCAGTGTCTTGTTGCAAGTTGAACTCTGTGCACTGCAACTATTTCCAAAAGAATAACTGTGTTAGTTGGCCTATTAGTTAGCCTATTGGTGTTTGCTCAAGGATATGCCAGAATGCATCTTCTTTCTATGTGAAATCAGGCTCACACCTGAGATGTGCCCCAGAACCTTGTCAATTAGCTGCAGTTACTGTATTTTTCCGGGTATAAGAACAATAATTTTTTCTAAAATATTTAGATTAAAAATTGAGGGTTGTCTTATACATAGAAGGGGGGGGGGAATCCTAGCGCTTTGATGATTCCTGCTTTCCCCCTCCACTTTCTTGCGAGGAAAATGCAAGAAAGTGGAGGGGGAAAGAAAGTGGAGAGGGAAGACGGGGATCAAAGTGCTTTCTTGCAAAGAAATAAATTTTGGGTTAGAAAAGGGGGGGCATCTTATACATGAGTGTATCTTCTATACGGAAAAAATGTAGTAGCTGTGGCCAATTATACAAATGTCAAGAACTTTCTAGTCACTGCTGAAATAATTAAACCCACATAGATATATTGTACAGCCTATGAGTCCTCAAAGCAGGGGTCCCCAACCCCCAGTCCACAGCTTGGTGCTAGTCCGTGGGCTTCCTGTTACACTCATGGGGGCGTGTTGCACTTGCAGGTGGGTGTGTTGTGCTCACGAAGGGGCATGTCACCAATACGCCCCTCCGCAAGCACGACACGCCCCTCCATGAGCACGACACACCCCCTGCTAACACGAGCCTGCGCTGCCCCCCCTCGCACAGAGCCTGCATCCCCGTAACAGTCCACGGTCCCAAAAAGGATGGGGACCACTGTTCAAAGACATAGTCAAGGGGGAGGGTCAGTCACCTCTGGGTGGTAAGTTATGAAGCACAGGATCACTTTTTGATCGTTTTCTGAGAAGTTTGAGGTTTCTCTTGCAGGTTCCTGCAGATGCTGAACTAGGACTTGGATCTGGATGCAAGGTGGTCTCTCTAATCGAGGAACTGACAGCACCTTCATTTTCTAAAAAAAAAAAAAAAGAATATTTGGGGCAGGAAGATCAGTCACCTTAAGCTTGCACATAATCCACAGACAAAAAGATTTTTGGAAGGAATATAAATCATTCTTTCAAACATATTTTCTTGGTTACTTTAAAGTCAAATATCAGTTCTCAAACAGTATTTTTTTTAAAAATCCATCTCCTTAAAAATGAGTGATAAAAGTAAAGCTATTTATTACACAAAGTAATGTATTTACAAAATAGCAAAATTACTCATTGTCAAAGTTGCCAGTGATATAGCTCACATAAAAAAATTTCGAGATACACCACTATGGTATACCTAAAAATCTGTGCTCAGATTATCTAAGAAACTGTTGGAAAATAAAGAAGGGCAGTGCCAAAGAATGCTTCAACTACCGTACAATTGCACTCATTTCACACTGCAAGGAGAACAAACAGAGAGGTTACTTACCTGTAACCATGGTTCTTCAAGTGGATCTCTGTGAATTCATAGTGGATCTCTGTGAATTCTCCAGTTCCATTTATCCGCCACTTGTAGAGCATGAGCTCATTATAACATAAACAGTGACGGATAGTGGGGAGGTCGGGTGGGATGTGTGAATTCACAGAGATCCACTTGAAGAACCATGGTTACAGGTAAGTAACCTCTCTTTCTTCAGCGTGGTCTCTGTGAATCACACATAGTAGGTGGACGAATATTGACCAGTCCTTTTAAGAATGCTTTCAATGTAGGATTAGAGAAGAGATGTGAGGATTCTGAGTCTCTGGGCTGAAAAGAAACTATTGCTGATATATACACTTTGAGAGTAGATAAGATAAGGCCCATATCAAAGAGATGTGTAAGATACAGAAGTAAAGACTGTAGTGATACCAGAGAGGCTGGAAGGTTTCTCTCAGTGGCAAAACGAAGAAAGTTATTCCATTTATATTTGTACAACACAAGGGTAGACTCTCTCTTCCAATAGTGGGTCAAAATGATGGAGAAGCCATGCCTGTAATGAGCGCATTTTTAGACGTGCATGTGGTAGAGCTGCTTTGTTGAGGCCATGAGACCTAACAGGTGTTGTGCGTGATGCGCTGACACCCGAGAGTGAGGTCGAAACTTTTTGACTGCAGCCTGTAGCTTTTGAATGTGCTCTGGAGGAAGGAAGAGCCTTGCTTTTCTGGAGTCCAATGTGGCTCCTATGTAACTCATTATTCAAGATAGTTTCAGATGAGATTTTTCAAAGTTAATGGTGAGACCCAACCTCTGGAGGGTGAGAAGGGTGGAGTCCTTGATGGCTCTCTGTTCGGATGGCGACACTACGAGCCAATCGTCTATGTATGGGAACACTTTTACTCCCTGTAGACGAAGAAATGCAGCCACTGCCATGCACTTTGTAAACGTGCGTGGTGCCATTGCTAAGCCGAATGGCAAGGCCGCATACTGGAAAATTTTGTCGTTGATTATAAAGCGAAGATACTTCCTGTGATGATGATGTATGGTTACGTGGAAGTATGCATCTTTCAGGTCTATAACCACGAACCAATCTCCTCTTCTCAACAGGAGGACAATTGACTCTAGAGTGACCATCCGAAAGCGACATGGATGAAGGTAAGTGTTGAGATCTCTAAGGTCTAGAAGGGGTCTGAGACCCCCGTCCTTCTTTGGCACAGTGAAGTATCGGGAGTAAAAACCCCTTGTGATGTCCTGATGAGGGATTTGATGTATTGCATCCATTTGGAGTAGAGTGAGAACCTCCTCTTCCAGGGTAGGGTTGGATATTGTCACCTTTATATGCCCTAGAGGAGGAAACTCTACAAACTCTATCCTGTAGCCGAATTGAATTATATTCATGACCCACTTGTCCTTTGTAATCTCTTTCCAATTGTATAGAAATGGGGCCAACCGGGTCAGATGGTCGTGATTCTGACTGATGTGGAAGTCAAAGGTAATCTTGGATTTGTTTGCAGGTGGACGGTAAGACAGACTTTTTTGTGTCTGTTGTTTGTAGGACGGAGCAGTAGAAGAGTCACGAGATGACCTGCCTTGAGAGCCTCTGAACTGTTTATAGCCCTGAGAGGCCTGCTGTTGATATTGCTGCTGTGGGAACTGCCTCTGCCACTGGGACTTTTGAAACTTTGGTTGTTGGTGGATTGCATATGATTTGGCCGTCTTTTTACTTTCATGTAAACTCTTGAGAGACTCATCAGTTTTCTCATTAAACAACCCCTTGGCATCAAACGCTTGTTCTTCGATCCGTTTCTTAACATCCTCCACGATGCCAGACACCCTAAGCCAGTCGACGTAATGTAATAGTAGAGACGAGTGTCTTGGTTGCTGCCTCTGTAGCATATCTAGCAGCTAGACGCTGGTGCTTAGACAGAGTCATCGCCACAGTATAAGCATTGAGAAAATCCTGTCTTGTATCATCGGGTGCACCCTGGAGAGTTGGAAGAACCTTGGGGTCCAAAGGGGCTTTTGGTAGGCACCCATTGCAGCTTGGTAATTGCAGATACGTAAAAGGAAGGTTTGGAAACCGTACATCTTCCTCCCCAAAACATTTAACTTCCTTCCCTCCCGATTGACAGGGATAACATGTTGTCTGCCAGATGCTTTTGAAGAGTTGGCATGGACGATAACAGAATTAGGAGCAGGATGCTTAGAAATGTAGTTGGTATCATCTCCATGAACTCTGTAGAAGTTCTCAGTATGCCTTGATATAGGTAAAGGGGTTGCAGGCTGAGTCCAAATTTCATGAATAAGGTTAACCAACTTAAAGATAAAAGTGAGGCTTAGAGGTTGTGAACGCTCTTGATCTATATCCCCAAAGATTAAGTCTTCAGATGGAAGGGGAGGGTGCTGTGTTTGCATTTTTAAAACCTTAGCCATTCTAGCCACTATCTGAATGTAGAATGAAAAATCCTCAGAAGGCGATGAGGGACTGGGATCACCTGCATCAGATTCACAAGTATCAGCTTCAACAAGTGATTGATCCTGCTGTGGGGAAAGTAGCTCCTCTCCCTGATCAGAATAAACTTCGCACTGAGCCCCTTCATCATCCGAAGGCATTTGCCTTTGAACAAAAGGGATGGATTGATTAGACATCGAGGTTGATGTAGATGACGCCTTAGGAGGCGCTTTGGAAGTAGTCTTCTTGACTGGTAAAGGCGCCTCAGCCTCCTGGTCTCGTCGATATCGAGAAGGGGGGGAGAGGGTGATCTGTCAGAAGAAGAGGTGGTAGAATAGTACCTTTTTCTATGTCTCCGATGGACCTCAGACGTCGAAGAGGTAGAGGAGGTGGAGTCAGTATAGTAATGACGACTCCAATGTCTGTAACGCCTCCTGCTGGAATGTCAACCAGGAGAGCGATCTCTCTTATGCTTCTTTCAACGCTGATCCTCCCTGTCAGCAGACTGAGGTCGGTCAGTCAAAGAGTGCCTCCGTTTAGAAGATTTCTTCTGTGGGGGAAGACTTCAACTGGGCGAAGAAGAAGGAGATCTCGGAGGCTCAGTCGCCTGCCCGGCGATAGCAGGGCTCTGAAGGGCAGTTTGAGGGCTGGAGAGAACAGCCTCGTCCAATTTGTCAGGACTAGGCGAACGCTCGCGTTCCCCGTTGCCATCGGCTTGCTGCCTGGGAGGCATAGAAGGAGCTGGCTCAGACAATGAGTCCTGATCCCTTGAAGAGTTTTCTAAAATTGGTGAAGGTAGGGACGGAGTAATAGGACGGATGATATTGTGCTCCCTATTCTCATCCCTTTTGTTTTTGCCAGCAGGTTTCTTAGTTTTCAAAGCCTTTGGAGCGGGAGCTTTCTGCACTGAGGTAACAGACTTCTTGGAAGCAACCGTTGCCGGCTTCTTAGGAGTTTTCGCGCCAGACTTAGAGGTGCCAGTAGAAAGAGCAGGGACACTTGCCTCAGATCTTGGGGTCAATGACAGGTTGGAGGAAGTCTCCATGTCAAGAGGCTGTGAGGCAGATAAAGCCTTGTCCCACAAATAGTATTTGAGTCTTTGCTGCCTTGCTTTAACTGCAGCCCTCGTAAAGTTTTTACAATGAGAACAAAAGGAAGGAATGTGAGTGTCCCCCAGGCAAAAAAGACAAAGGTTGTGCTTGTCGTAAAAGGGCAGCTTCCTAGCACAAGCCCTGCACTTGCCAAAAGGTCCTGAGGGGGACATAAAAAGACTAGGCTGAGAAAAAAGCCTCTGTTCTCACGCCAATAACAGAAAAGTTCTCAGGCAATTAAGGTCAAGTGGATAATGGCGCCTCCCGCCGCACCAATCAAGCGGGTAATCAGGCAATCCACAACAGTATGGGGAAAAGCCAAGCAAACAGCAAAACTGCTACAGCAAAGAATAGTCGAAAAACAGTCCAAGTCAAGGGGCAAGAAAAACGATTAGTAGATGACTCAAAACAGTCCAAAAGGGAAGTCAAAATTTGACAGAGAGCTCTATCCGAAGCGTTCCTAGAACTTATGGCGGAAAAACAGGAACTGGAGGCTGGGGGAATGGAGCATGCGTACAAGGGGCAATGTAAACTATGTATCTTTTCAGAAAAAAGCTCTAGAAGATTCCGAAGTTCCAGCGCAGGTGCTGTTTAATCCAAATGTGTGATTCACAGAGATCACGCTGAAGAACTATCCATTCTAAAGGAAATCAAGCCTGAGTGCTCACTGGAAGGACAGATCCTGAAGCTAAGGGTCCAATACTTTGGCCATATCATGAGAAGAGAAGACCCCCTGGAAAAGGCCCTGATGTTGGGAAAGTGTGAAGGCAAGAGGAGAAGGGGACGACAGAGGACGAGATGGCTGGACAGTGTCACTGAAGCTACCAACATTAATTAGACCAAACTCCGGGAGGCAGTGGAAGACAACAGGGCCTGGTGTGCTTTGGTCCATGGGGTCCATCCTTCTACAGATAAAGAATAACTTTATGTAATCAGACAAGTATTATTTATAAACAGTTTTCACCACAATTTGGAAAGCTTTATTTTAAAAATGAAAATTTTGTCACATTTGGGGCATATAATCAAGAAAGCAAATACTTGTATTGTCTTTTGGAGGAATAAAACACCAGGTCTCCTGCCACATCGGATCAGTTGCTACAATAGCACTGCTATATGACTGTGACAGAAAGCAGTACAGCTCCTTAGATTGCAGAGGATCCACTACTGGAGAAGAATCTGGATGTGTTCATGTCTGCTATATTTGCAGGAGCCTACATACAAAAAGGGACAAATTATCATCATCTCCACCAAACAGAATTTAGTTAGAACCAATTAATTGTTTACATTTACACTGGGCAGCATTTTGAGAAGTTCCTGATAAAACCTAAGTATCTGTTAAATATTGACGCAGTATGTTTGCTGTTCCTAATATTGCCATTTTTTTGTAGCTCAGATGGTGTGATTTCTGAGATGATGATGATACCAAGTTTGATTTAAAGCAGAGGTCCCCAACCCCCGCGCGCGACCTGGTGACAGTCCATGGCCTGAGCCAGACCGGGCCGCGGAGAGAGACCTCCCACCCCACCCCTGCACGCACTCATCCCCGCACAACCTGTTTGCGCCTGCGTGGGAGTGCGTGCCTGGACAAGCACTGCGCCACCCTTTGCGCATGTGCACAAGCGCACCCGCATGAGCGCTGTGCCGCCCTTCGTGAATGTGCACAAGCACACGTGTGCCTGCATGAGCGCTGCACCACCCTTCACACATGTTCACAAGTACACGCATGTGCCTTTGTGCATGCGCATGACGCAGGGGGTGCCTCGCCTTCCCCAGCCAGTCTGTGGGGCTAAAAATGTTGGGAACCACTGATTTAAGGCATTACTACAAATCCTAGTTATCTATAGTATTACATATAGTCCCTAAATCTGTCTGTGCCTTGCAATGTGATTCTGAGCCGTACCTGGCCCTCTACAAACAAAAATCAGATTGTTTCCCTCCCCTTGAAAAATGTGAGTTCACTGTTCTCACAATGATACCAGAGCAACAAATTGGGCTTTAGAAGCCAGTAACAGTCTGAGGGCATGTGTGATTGTCTTGAAATGTATAACTACCCCCATAACCTAAATAACTGAATAGGTATTTTCAAAATACCTTTAGACCCAACCTATCTCCTGCAGAGTTCCATCTGATATTGAACACTATAAACTGATAATGTAGTTTCATTAGCGTTCTGTGCTAGATAATCAATACTGGGTGATGGCAGTGGGGATATTACTATCCAGTTGAAATGCATTCTGTTTGCAGAATCAAAAGCTCCTTGGCTGGCATAGGGAGTGTGTTGGCTTCCTTCCAAAAGAAAGCCAGGTTTCAGAAATATCCAGACAGATTTAAGTCATCCAGCAAAGTCAGGTGATCAGTGCTGTTGCCAAGCGCTGCCAAACAGACAACAGAGAATCAGCATTTTCCTCTCCTATGCTAAACATACCCTCTTCTTTGCCACCCACACTTCTTGCTGATATTGACAGAAAGATACTATGAGTCAGCCCTAATCTATGCCTGTCTGTTCTTGTCCATCTAGTGATACAGATCAGTAAACATAGTAGTCAGCCTTTTAATGATAGGATATGTTATTTCTGTACTGCATCAAAATGCACTTATTCTATATATAGTTTAAAGTCTAGTACTTATTCATAGACATTTCCTAATAACACAAATACTTCATAAACAAAATATATATATTTCTTTAGAGCTATCTGAAATTACATTTTAATCCAATACAAACTATAGCAAAGTACTACTGAACAAACATGATGCTTCTGTTACATCTATCTGCTATGTTCTATTCACAGTGAACACAGAGCAACCAAATCAATTCCAGTTGGAGAAGGCAACTCAGTAAAATGCTCCTTTGTAGTTTAAATCCTCCTCTCCTGCCACAATGGCCATCTGCACTTTACAGGATTGGGTATGAAATATCAGTAATACATGTTTCACTCAAAGACGTTATTCAGGCAAAAATGATGGCATGTGACTATGATACCCGAAATCCAATTATTTGGCAGGGGGTTTTCAATATGTAATGTGAGTTCCTCAGCATGACAGAACAACTTAAGAGGCACTTCAAAATCAAAGCAACATTCGCTTACAAAAACAGTACCAAAAGACTCATACAGTTCATCATATCCTTTCCAAGAGCACACAGGCATTTAGCCTGCTGTTTTGGTCTGCTGCAAAAAGGCTAGTTCGCTCATAAAGAAGGTGATCAGATGGTATCTGATCCCAGCCCCAGAGTATTCCTACCTGTACCTTTGTGGCTCCTGTCAGGGGCTTTTACCTTTTTGGTGCAAGTAGGATCATTTTCTTTTGGTACATTTCCAAAAGATCACTAGGAACAAACTAAAACCTCTCCTTTTTGATTGACCAATATTGTGGCTTAATTGGTTGATTAAACACTTCCTCTGCTTCTTAGCAAAGGAGCAGAGGAGGCGAAAGAAAATTGTAGTCTTCTTTAAAGCAGTCAAAATCTGTTGCATGAGTTATTTTTAAAACAATGTTTTAATCTTTCCTTTTCCTTGTCTTAAAGGGCCAGTCAAAAAATTTCCCATAGCTGAATCCATCACCTTTTACCCTGTTTTCCTGAAAATAAGACCTAACCTGAAAATAAGCCCCAGTATGATTTTTCGGGATGCTCGTAATATAAGCCCTACTCCAAAAATAAGCCCCAGTTAAGTGAAACCCAGCCCTCTACCATTGTGCAGCAACCAGAAGATGATAACATGACTGTAAAATAAAACATTCCCTGAAAATAAGCCCTAAAGAGTTTTTTGGAGCAAAAATTAATATAAGACCTTGTCTTATTTTCGGGGAAACACAGTACAAAAAGGAAAAGATATGTATTTGTGCACTAGGTATGTGCATTAGGCTGTGGCAGGCTCTCAATCAGACTTTTAAAAGAAGTGTATTACCTAATTGCCTGAAGACCACTTATAATATGTATATCTAATATACATACACTGGGTTGGAGCAGCCTGGAGTATACTAAATAGGGTTGTTTGAGATCCATATGCCAGTTGGATGTGATAGCAACTGATATGCTGGGCTTCCTAGTGATCATATTTAGCCCGATCCAACCCACTCTAACCTAGCCATGCAGTCAAACCCTTATTTGCTTTGTATGCCAATACCCAGGCAAAGCAATGCTCCAAATTTTGAAGAGCAGAGTTCAAAACTACCTAATATTACTATGTTGGGACTAATATACATATGGGCTTGGGATTATACTTAGACCAAAGTTCAGATTCCAGTCACTGTTGAAAATAGACATGGGTTATTTGTATTTGTATCCCTAGGGATACAAATATGAACAGCGACACCAAAGGTACCATGGAGGCCCATTCCCTCCCCACACAACTGGCCAGTCCACTGACCATTTGCAGCACAGTACTTGGCTTTGTTCTCATCATCACTGCACCAATCACAGAAGGAGCCCAGCTGGCTCTTCCCACCTCACTGTGCAGTCAGCCACTCATCAGCTGAGCAATAAGACTCCCTGTCCCGTCTCCATGAAGCAGTGGTTGGCTGCGCCAGCTGGGCTTCTTCTGTGATTGGCACAATGAAAACAATGGAGTTGAGCACTACAGTGTATACAGTGAGTGGACTGGCCAGTTCTTTGGGGAAGAAATGGGCCTCCACGGCACTCAGGGATATGAACATGAATAGTCCATGTCTAGTTGTAAATAGAAATAGGAAACATTTAACAGAGAGGAAGGAGAAAATACAATTCAGATATAGTGGTGCCTCGCATTACGACGTTAATTCATTCCAGCAAAATCGCTGTAGAACGAAAACGTTGTAATATGAAAATAAAAAGCCCATTGAAACGCACTGAAACCCCTTCAATGCGTTCCAATGGGCTGGAAACTCAACTGTCCAGCGAAGCTCCTCCATAGGGCAGCCATTTTCGGTGCCTGTGCAGCAAGGAATCCGACCCAGAAAACAGTAGGGAGCCATTTTATTTACCCGGCGGCCATTTTGAAACCGTCAATCAGCTGGAGGAAAATCATAATTTTGTGAAGAATCAGTTCTCAAAGCAGGGAACTGATCAAAGCGAAAAAAATCCCATTCAGACCATCGTTTTGCGATCGCAAAAGGATCTTCGTAATGCGGTTTCGTCGTAATGCGGGGCAATCGTAATGCGAGGCACCACTGTATAGAGGAAATAATTTATCATATTTCTTCATAATCCATCATCAGGCCTAGCACAACTTTTCAGACATAATCTTTACCTTCTGATTCTTGTGTATCATCTTCTCTTGCTGGGCTATTAACAGATTCTGTGACATCTGAAATTTGAGATGTACCCTCCTAAACAGGAAATCAACAATACTGAAATAAATATTAACAGACAAATAACATGCCAAGAAACAGATTCGGCATTTACTGTTAAACATTAAAAATGTCAGTAGTTCTCCAATTAAGGATGATCTTGCAGCTCATCTGTCTCAGGAAGACAAATATATATCCTTCATTCAAAACACAGCACATTACAAAGGAAACAAATATATTATTTATGAGCTGTACTCTGAGAAAGTTGTTAATTTCTAGGTAAAAAAAACTACATTCTTTAACAAAACCCCTGGTGTCTTTATTACTAGTATGTGCCATGCAAACAAAGAAAAGAACCTTATGTTAGGGGCAGGGAGGAGCATAAAATTTTTAATTAAATACTGGGCTGGCAACTACAAAATATGTTCTATTCTTTTTAAGAAATCTGGGTAATGAAGTTAGTTTTTAAAAATGAGGATAACATTTTATGACTTACCAGCTTCAAAAATCACATTTGGATTTAGTTCTTTTCTATAAAAACAAAGTATCCATCCAAGAGGCACATTAGCTCAAATTACACAAATACCTTTCATTTTTATTTTCTCAACTTCTGGCAATGTTAAAGCCTAAAAGTATTTGGATGTAATCATTGCCCAAAATTTGCAAATGGAACCATCTGAAGGTTATTTATGCTGCCTGCTGTGAAAGCACATTGAGCTCAGAATCTCAAGGGACAATACCTGCTCATGACTCAGTTGACTCACAACAGCTTCATAAGGAGGTGGAGGATCCAGTGGGCAGAAAACTTCAACTCCTTTAATTCTGGCTCCATAAATATGAGGTAATGGAATGACATCAGAATCCAGCATCCTAGAATACGACAGAAAGTTTGTATCAACTATAACAGTCTCTTGACACTTCCAAGGGATTCAATGACCAACAGAACAAATGTAATCTCATTTTGAGGGGAAAGAAGAATTTGAGGAGGACTCATAAGGAGTTTCACAAACAATCCAGGCAGAAACTACTTTCTGTAGAAAAATACATGTGACATAGAGCATTTTATTTCTGAATCCAACTGAATTGTGGTTGATCTACTTTCCAACCCCATTCTGAATCCAACTGAATTGTGGTTGATCTGCTACTTTCCGACCCACGTGGTTTTGGGGGTGGCATGAGATCATTATCATTACTATTGGCTCAGTAGCCTAAGCCACTGGTTCTTAACCTTGGGTTTCTCAGGAGTTTTGGACTGCAACTCCCAGAAGCCTTCACCACCAGCTGTGCTGACTGGGGTTTCTGGGAGTTGCAGTTCAAAAGCATCTGAGTAACAAAGGTTAAGAACCACTGGCCTAAGCCATGCCAGGTGCTCATAATTACCAGTTCTTCCATATATACATGTGGGGGCAAGGGGGAGAAAGAAATACCCCCCTAGTTCCACCAGTGGCCAGTTCCCATACTGCATCTAGCAAACAAGTTTTGAAAATACAAAGCAAATGCTTCGAGGAGAAAACCAGGAGAAGGGCAAAGTCCTCCTTTCTTCTTCACATCTGGCCATGTAATATTTATTTTCTCCATAATTTTCCACTTTGCAAATACGTGTTCCCATTTTTAACGTAAAACCCAAGATTTTGTTGCATGCCTTTTTAGCATTATGTTCTAAGCAAGAAGAGAAGGTGGGAGGAGGACACCTAGTGAATGAGCTGACCCAAGACATTTTGCCTCCTAAGCTGAAGGACCAAGGGGATGCACTGTCCCCATCCATCCAGGTTAATTTACAGGGCAATCAATCCAACCAAGTTACTTTGGCAAAGGCTAGAGGATCCCTAAGCACCTCTCTACATCCCTGCTAGTAAAAATAAGAAAGAAAGAAAAAGAATGCATGTGGAGTAAGTACTAGTTCAATAGGTCTGTCAGGAGACCTAAATTTTGCTGCCTGAGGTTTCTAGATGGTGCATGTTGTCTACAAACGTCCAGCTGGTGGATCTAAAAATAAATTCCTTTCCATTACTATAATTCATTGGAGGGGAATTTCCATGAAGCTAGTCCAATTCATGGAAAATTCCACGTCCTTCCCCACCCTGATGCACTATAGTAATGGATGGAATTTTATTTTACACCCAGCTTCCAGTCTTTTAGGTTAGCTGGAATCAATGACCGGACATTGAAATAGCCAGAGATATTGCCAAGGATGTAATAATAAGCTCAATTTGATCCTCACTAGACACTCTAGCCTTCCTAGTATTACGATCACATGCAGTTATCAGGGTGCTGATTATGATACTAATCACTCCCTGGTGTGCAGCAGAGCCAAACTGCAATTAAAGAGACTGTATCACATGAAAAAGAAAGGAAGACACATTGACATCAGCAAGACTCGCAATCAGAGAAAAGTGGAGGAATTTGCCCAAGCACTTGAGGAAACTCTTCCAGGCCCGGCTGCTGCAAATGCATCTGAATGATGGGAACATTTCAAGAATGTTGTTTATAACACCACCTTGTCCACATTTGGCAAGAAGACCAAAAAGACGGCAGACTAGTTCAAAGCCCATTCGGAGGAGTTGATGCCAGCCAACAAGGAAAAGAGGAGAGCTCTAGCAGAATACAAAGCCTATCCTAGTGAGTACAACTTGCAGGTTCTTCGAGTTGCTCGTAGCAAAGTCCAACAGACTGTCATGAGATGTTCTAGTAATTATTGGCTTCAGCTATACTCTCAGATACAGACACAGGTAACATCAAGGGAATGTATGATGGTATCAAGCAGGCTTTAGGTACAGAAGAAATCTACTCCTTTGAAGTCTACTACAGGCGTGATCATTCAGGACGGAGCACAGCAGATGGAACACTGGGTGCAGCACTACTGCCAGCTATATTCCAGAGAGAATGTAATAACCAAAGAGGCATTAAATAACATAGAGAGCCTGCCTGTCTTGGAAGAGTTGGACAGCAAACCAACGTAAGCAGAAATAAAAGTGGTCTTGGATTCCCTTCCCTCCAGCAAGACACCTGTGAAGGATAACATCCCTGTTGAAGAGATCATCACCACTGAGCTGTATGAATTCTTCTGTCTTTGCTGGAGGGAAGGTGGAGCACCACAGGACAGGGGTCCCCAACCCCCAGTCCGTGACCCAGCAGCAGTGGACTGGGCCACACAGATCTCCTTCCTTCCCGTGAGTGCTGCTGCACACATGCGCGCATGTGTGCTCCGCCCCTGCAAAGCAGCCCCCCATGAGCATTGCTGTGCACATGCACATGAATGTGCTCCACCTTCCTGTGGGCACGACACCCCCCCGCAAGTGCACCACACACCCCACACAAGTGTGCCACGCCCCACAACCAGCCCACGGTTGGGGACCACTGCCACAGGACATGAAGGATGCAAACATTGTCACATACAAGAAAAAGGAGACGGGCAACTGCAATAATTACCATGGCATTTCTCTTCTCAGCATTGTAGGGAAGCTGCTTGCCTGTGTTGTGCTGAAGAGATTCCAGGTGCTTGCAGACAGAGTCTATCCAGAATCACAGTGTGGATTTCGAGCTAATAGATCCACCACCGATATGGTATTTTCCCTCAGACAGTTGCAGAAGAAATGTAGGGAACAACAACAGCCACTCTTTGTGGCCTTTATAGATCTTACAAAGGCCTTTGATCTGGTTAGCAGGGACGGCCTTTTTAAAACACTTCCCAAGATTGGATGTCCACCTTGACTCCGTAACATCATCAGGTCCTTCCACAAGGGAATGAAAGGCACTGTAGTTTTTGATGGCACAACATTAGATCCCTTTTGACATCCGAAGTGGAGTGAAACAGTGCTGTGTCCTTGCACCGACTCTGTTTGGGATCTTTTTTGCTGTCATGCTGAAGCACGCCTTTCGAACTGCAACAGAAGGTGTCTATCTCCGGACAATATCAGATGGAAAGCTCTCTAATCTCTCTAGATTAAGAGCGAAGACCAAAGTCCAGGCGAAATGCATGCAGGACTTCCTCTTCGCCGATGATGCAGCTGTTGTTGCCCCTTCTGCTGAAGAGCTCCAACAACTTATGAACCATTTTAGTAAGGCCAGCCAAGATTTTGGATTAACAATCAGCCTCAAGAAAACACAGGTCATGGGCCAAGCGTGGACTCACCTCCCTCTACTACCATCTCCACACAAGAATTGGAGGTTGTTCATGACTTTGGGTACCTTGGCTTAACGATCTCTGACACTCTCTCTCTAGATGTCAAGCTGAATAAATGCACTTGCAAAGCAGCTACCACGTCCTCTAGACTCACAAAGAGAGTATGGCTTAATAAGAAGCTGACGGGATATACCAAGATCCAGGTCTATAGAGCCTGTGTCCTGAATACACTCCTGTACTGCAATGAGATCTGGACCCTTTGTGCATGGCAGGAGAGGAAGTTGAACATGTTCCATATGTGTTGTCTCCGATGCATTTTTGGTATCACTTGGCAGGACAAAGTTCCAAACAGAGTAGTCCTAGAACGAGCTGGAATTTTTAGCATGTATACATTACTGAAACAGCAACGTCTACATTGGCTTGGGCATATTGTGAGAATGGCTGACGGTCGGATTCCAAAATATCTCCTGTATGGGGAATTAGTGCAGGGAAAGCGCCCCAGAGGGAGACCACAGCTGCGATACAAGGTTATCTGCAAGCGGGATCTGAAGGCCTTAGGAATGGCCTGAGCACTCAGACTGGAGGCAGGCGGTACAGCATGGCCTCTCCTAATTTGAAGAGACACTTGTCCAGCAGGCCGAGGCGAAGAGGCAGTCCTGAAAGGAGCAAAATCAGGGAGCTGGACAGGGGACAGATTGTATTTGTCTTCAGTGTGGAAGGGATTGTCACTCTTGCATTGGCCTTCTGAGCCACACTAGAGTAGACGCTGTTCCAAGACCTCTATTCAGAGCATGTTACCATAGTCTCTCGAGAGTGAAGGACGCCTACACACATACTTCTTTCTGCTGCTTCTAGGAAGTAATGCCACTAACCCTCGTTACTGGAGAAGTAGAGAGGAATAACAGCGACAACCATTTTTAACGTATTGTGTATAGCTCTGGGCTCATTCAAATGATTACCATCCCTTCCCAACTCAATGAGTGCAAGAAATTAGGCAGACAACTCTACCAAGCCACTACACAGGCAAGAAAGTCCGCAGCCCCCCCCAAATGCTTTGAACCCAGTACAGGCCCATCATGGCAGAACCAAACCAGGATCCTGATCTGTTTTCTCATGCTTTGCCTGCCAGGATGTACATTGATCTCAATTACCACACACAGCTAAGTCCAGATCAGGTGGTGTCAGAAGCCAACACAGTAATCATGAAATATTCAGCAAACTTATTTCTGACCTGTTGTGGTTGGTCATCTACAAATACATTCTAGGTTTTCTTTTGTAAAATGCAAACCGCACTATGCCTTCATTTTCATGTGCCTTCTGTATCTTGCACATATCAACTCTGATTTCATGTAGTTGTCTTCATATTTAAGATCTCTTACCATAATTAACATTCTATGTCATGTTTATCATTGTACAAACTCAACACTTTTAAAAATTACTCTCAAAGTAAGCAGATACTGTACTCCAAGTGGATATTTAACTCATTACAAATACATTCTAGGTTTTCTTTTGTAAAATGCAAACCGCACTATGCCTTCATTTTCATGTGCCTTCTGTATCTTGCACATATCAACTCTGATTTCATGTAGTTGTCTTCATATTTAAGATCTCTTACCATAATTAACATTCTATGTCATGTTTATCATTGTACAAACTCAACACTTTTAAAAATTACTCTCAAAGTAAGCAGATACTCCAAGTGGATATTTAACTCATTCCACACATTTCTAGATTTGGGGGAATTTGG